GGTTTCTTGTAGTTCGATATTAGATTTAGGATAAGATTAAATAATATATCTTAGAAATTAATCCAGATGATGAATAGAAGCAAGTCCTATCCTTAGCTTTACATTTGTGTGTAGAAGGTTTTCATTCTACATCATGTTGTAAACTACAAACCTTCTATAGATTCAAGTTCGTTATGGTTGGATAATCCTCTTTCAGGCTTTGTCTGATTGGAGAAATAGAGGGATAGAAGCCTCTTAGATTGGTATAATCCCTCTAATAAGTCAAGGTATTTTTTCCTTATCTCTTCCATACTAATGGCAAATACGACAAACCTCTCATTAAATTCTTGTTCTTTTCTTATCCTAGTAATCCATATCCGTACTTAGTTATATCTCGAATACTTAGAACTTAAATCTATAGTAATCGATCGATATTTATTACGTGGATCTATAATTATAATCGAAATTTTAAATGTTATAATTTAATGATGGTAATTTAATACAAAGTTATTCCTCAAATTTTGCTATTATTTTCAAACAAAAGCATCCATTAATGACTCGAGGAATCAAATCAAGTTTATTCAATAGCTATAATTCTGATTAATGATACCAATTCTGAATATAAGTTATATATCTCTGGAGTGCATCCATTAGTCTAGATCAACATGTAATCTGATGATGATAAAGGATGCCGTATTCCGGCCGACGTAGCCAAACCGAATGTCAGAAAGATTCCATGCTAGAAGTGGACGTCATTGAATAGTTGTATGGGATTTATGTAACCGGTTGTTATCTGATATTGATTTTAGCATACGAGAAATGATCTGGACGATATCCAGATGACAAAACCTCTTATTTTTCTCAACATTTTTCATTTCGGGCGACATCCTTTCACAAAAACTTCACTTTAAAAGGATAAGCTAATAAATTATGGTGATTCGACATATTACATCTCGACGCCCAGTATTAAAATTTTGCATTATATAAAGCTTAATTTAAAAAATTAACACGTTTTATCCATTATAGAGGATTTTTAATATTCAAATTGCGCCATGTCTTTCTAAAAAAGAAATACAAAAGATAATTATAATATCCATTAAAGAAAGTTAAATAAGTTTTTAATCGTGTTTTTAGCTTATTATTCTTTAATATCTTCCAGAATAAATTAAACTATCTCCATTCTGTAGAGGAGAATAATACTGCAAAACCACTGGTCGTTAGCTGGAAATGGGCGTTCACACACAACACAAACATCTTTATTTTGGTAATGAACTGAAATTTTAATCACATTTGATTCCTCTTATTAATTCACTACGACAATTGCTGTATTATCAATTTTATATAAAAATCAATTTTAAAAATTTTATCTCGTGTTTATCTAACGCTTTCTTATTTAATTTTCTTCGTCTTTATGTCAACGGTTAATTAAACTCAACAATTTATAAGTATGATAAATACGTTACATAATTCGGATTAACAAAATATCGATCAATTTAGTCGACTTGATATAGTTACACGTCAAGTAATTATATCTCTCGACGTAGTACAAACTGGATAATTTTTGTTTCAGATCCCCGGTTATTGTTTGAGTAAGATTAGAGTTTCTATCTGCAACTTCATCTCTTTTCAAAGTTCAAATTAATTAGGAGAAGATAGATTAGAGAAATTTTCAACAACCTGTTTTTAAATTGACAGAGTTTGTTGCCAACAACTTTTCATGTACTTTCAGGTTATTCAACTTCATAAGTTATCTTGTTTCTGTAAGCGTAAAAAATAATTAATAATATCTAAATTGGGTTAGTTTTTCTCTTCTTTTCACGATTTTGGAAAAAAAATCCTATTTAAATAATCTATTTGCGGGAAAAATTATACTAATTATTCCATAGCTGTAACAGAATCTGGTAGAGATTATATTTTATTTTTCATTAAAAAAAAGGTATGTATTAAAAAAAAGGTATATATTAAAAAAATATAAGGGAGAAGAAAGTCAAAAAGCAACTATGATAAAATTAAGCATAAACTTTTCTTCCGCTTAACAAATTAAATGGCATCATTAAAACTGCTTATCAAGTTTCACAAAGTTATTCTTTGTGGTAAACTTGCAAATTTAGTAGTTTCTTTGCTACAACGTTTGTCTTCCCTATAGATTAATGATAAACAACACCCGGCCCTCGGGATGCATGAGGCCCCTGAGACTTTTGCAACGTAATTTTGTTTTCTTCTTTTCTCCTTATGCTGTTATACAACTCTAATTAAGCTGATATTTCTGAAGAACATTCAATCTAAACTTGACCAGTAAAAGGATGAGTAGGCCTATATACTATACGTTAATAGGTAGCGCATATTATTTTAGTATTTAATCTACTGGCAGTTATGGAATACGTTGATATTCGGCAAACTTAAAGCCGAAACTGTGTAAGAAAGACGAATCAGGGCTGCCTGATAACCACGAAGTTCATTCGTGACCCTCATACAGAAAAGATCGATAATATTGGCTGTAAAATACACATTGTAACTTATTTGGGGTTGGATTGATGATAAATGGTAACGCAACACATGACGATCTGTCAAGGGGGATAACTTCCGAGAAGACTTTCTATGAGGAAAACTGAAACTGTGCTAGATACATGGAAAAAACATGGAAAGCTCTATGGCCATCCCGGTGGCGAGGAGCGAATTCACTTCCAATTAATTACCAGTGTTCAGTGGTTTTATTCACTCGGATAACTTATTTTTAAAACTACGTTTAAAGCCTGTAATTATTTGCTTAACAATTAAACAATAAACAATTTCATAAGTTTGAAAATTTTGATTTATAAATTTCTCATAAATTTGATGATATCGATTATTAAGATTGAAAAAAAAGAATAAGAACAAATAGTTAAGAATATTGTATTTATTCTTTCTTTTTCAATAATAATAATAATACTATATACATAAATTTGAAAATGTTGTAATGTGTATGTATATCAGATATATCACCTTTTAACTGAAGACAAATCTAATGTCTTATTCAGAGTTATTGTTAGATTACATGTTCTGTTTTATCTAAGAATTTGTCCATAATGCTTTATTGCTGGAAATTAGATTACGTGTCACGAAACAGCCGATACTTCTCAAATCTTTGTTTAAGATAAAGAAGGTTAGATCGATAATGGTGAATAGGCATTTGTTCTGTTAGAATATATTTCTGCAATTCGAATTGCCTTGTGGAGATATTAAGTGTGTTTCGTCTCGCATAAAAAAAAAACNATTATAATAATTCATCTCTATTCAAGATTGTTTGAATAGTCCCGAGTATATATATATAAAATAAAATATGAAAATGCATTTTTCTTACTCTTCATCTCTGAAACGAGAGCTCTTGTAGTTTGTATGATCAAAACAAAATTTTATGATTGCAAATGTTGGAGGAAGAATTGTAACTTGAACTCGTTTTAAAATAAACTTTTTCAATTGAAAAATTGAAAAAAGTTCACATAAAGTGGATACTTTAATACTGAAATAATTTAACTTCTCTACAATTTCTTTAAAATTAAAATTTGTACTTCATACGTTTTAAAATTCTAAATTGTCTCTCGATTGCTATAATATATTCCTAATTGATAAAATAATTGTTTTCTAGCACCGAATAAATTTATTCCTGATATAATTTAAATTCGAAGCTAGCGTCAAATTTCTAAATATATAAAACAACGTGTCAATGCCATTTTTCTCCATCATAAAAACATTTTTTTTATATATATATTTATTCTTTGTAATATCATGTATTTTAAAGGTTTTTTTTTTTTGAATTTTTAAGCTTGTAATTTAATAATTAGATTTTTTTTTCTTTAAATGTAAACGAATAGAGATTATCCCACATTTATGATTTTCATTATTACAACTTTCATAATAATATGTCTTGTTTACTATAGAATAAATGATGAATTTCTGGGCTAATGTATGTACTGTTTGAAATCATAGTAAAAAAAATTAAATGTTATACAAAATTTACACTTTTCTTGTTAACTTTTGTACAAATATAAAGAAAATTACGTTAATTTTCTATTTATATTACGTAGTTATTTGATTTCTATACAAAGTAAATATGTATAACAGTATAACAACAGTATGTATATTGCTGTTATACTGAATATTCGCAAATTTATAAGGTTGCTTTTATTGCATGTAATGATGTATTGTATTTTAAAATCAATTTTCATTTAAAATATCTGTTTTTTTATATTAAAACTGAAATAATTTCGCTTGTGTATCGTAATAATTATTTTCTTAAATTTAATTTCAATTTTCTTACATCGAATTATGTAAAATAAGAAAATTATCGTTTAAAAAATTTCTTACTTTTCAATGAATTCTAATTACATTTTGTTATTCGTAGTTGAAAACATTATAAACTATCAATAAATTGGTCGAATGTTACGACTGGATATGTCGTTGCGCGTTATTCTCTTTAGCTTTGATCGTTTATATTGTAGGAAGAGTAACTGACGATAGTTTACTCTTAATGGACGATGCCATTTACAAACTTGTCACTCGTTATAATTTGCAACATAAATTCTACTATTTATTGTTTAATTTATATCACGATACATAGATCAATGGTTTAGAAAGTTTCGACGATTATTTAGAGAATTTCAAAGGCTACTTTAACATTTCTAAATAGCTTTTTAATTAATTAAAATTCAACGAGCAATTTGCGTTATTATTTAAATGATTGCCGAAAATGATTTATGGACAAGTAAAAGGGGAGGGGAAAAAGAAAAAATAATAATAAAAAACAAGTGCAACACGAAATGAGAAATAGCTTATGAAAAGTGACACAAATTTAGTCTTTAATTAGAATTTAAAATTATTCTTCGGAACAAAAAATCTTAATGTTACTCATTATATTTTAATTCATGTTTGCATCATCGAGCGATAAATTGCCGTTTCGTTCGGTTCAAACGAGCGTATCTCGATTTAAACATAATTCATCACTCATCGAAGAAGTTTACAAGTCGTGAGAAATATTTATCAATATGACAGACAGAAATAAGATTAAGAAAACAAGGAAAAACGACGACAATCTTCCCAACATAAGACAATATCAGTTTAGCCCCGAGCATCACGCATCGTAATTAGTACTTGTTTAAACTAGATGGACAGAGAGAAAGAGAGAGAGTAATCAAACCAATAATTACATAAAAAAATATTAAGCAGACAATCTAATGAGAAAAAAAAAATAAGAAGTGGAAGAATGATAGAAAGAAAGGCTTTACATCTAATCATATTTGGCGATAATACAAGACGGCATTAGAAGGAGATTACCTTTTGGATTTCGTTGTACTTCATTGCCGGAGGGAGATGAAATGATGAATACACCTTTCGATATTCTAGAGAAAAAAAAAATTGGTCATTACGTCTTTAACAAATGAAACAATTGTTCGGAGTAAAATTGAAAAAAAAAAAAAAGAAAAAACTTTTAATACGAGAATGACGTATGCCAGATGAAATTTCTTATTGCTACAAGAACAATTTTAAAATTGCTAAAATTATTTTCGGAACCTTTTGATGGATGTATTATAAAATATAACACAGCTTCGGATTTTTTTCCTTTCTTTTTCTTTTTTTAATAGAAGAATGTTGAATTGGATAGAATTTTTTTTTATTATCAAGAGTCATTTATAGTTAAAAAGATTTGTATTAAAATTTTAACACTTTTGATCTTATTATGGTAGAAAAATTAGCTGATTTTTATATACTTTTATCCATTAACTTTTCATTGTTTAGAATATTGATCATCGTCATTTTTAAATCTTGTTATTATACCTTAGAGGCAAACAAAGAAATTTTAAAATCTCAGGTATTCGATATTCTAAAGCAATCCTTCATTAGGAGTTGGAAATAAGGTGTTAATGAAATTATTTAATTATTAAAAAATTTTCTTCATTTGTGTATGGGTTTAAAAACCGTTTCGCTTCAAAGAGAAAAGAAGTATTGTAATTACGAAAACTAATCAAATTACGTTCATGTTTTATTCTATTACTTGATAGTTCACTTAACACACATTACGGTTGCCATATTTTTCGTAATTGTTGCTGACGTGTAAAGGTAAAAAAAGAGGAAAAAAAAACCAAGTTTTTTTTAGTCTCGAGCGTGCTATACTGGTTTTCTTATCGTTCATTATGTCTTTAAATTATTTACAGGATAATAAAGAATATGTGAGTATTTATAAGTGTTTCACAGGGAGAGTTACGCGTTTACAAACAAGTTTTTTTTTGTTTTTTTCGTTATCTTTGAAGAAGTATTGACTCAATTAAATTCTTATCAAAGGTGTTTTGTAAAGCGAAATGATCTTAATCAGTAATTAAAACAAATATCAAATGAATTATACACATTTTACTCCATTAAATACAGTCCTATTCGTTGTGTAAAATGTTTGTTTATATAAATTTAAAGACCAATACGTAATACACTTTTCATGTTTATAAATGTAATAAATTTAATTTTTTTTTAAAAATATTTAATTCCCGATATTTATGCAACGTTATTTTTCTTCTGTCTTTTTTAGGAAATATCACCGAAAAGAAAATCGTTACGTAAGCCGAAGCCAAAGTTATGGTCGTGATTCGTATAAAATCAGGCCTTGTAATGTGAGATCGCCTTTTCCGGATTTTCCGTATCATCCGTTTTCACATTATAGTAGTACCGAATCGTTAACCAGCTGTTGGTCCAATTGCACAACTTTAGAAGAAGATCAACTCGTATATCCTGCTCGTTCGGTTCCTGACCTCGATCAAGTCGGAGACATGGTGACAAGAAAATTCAAAAAGGGTTCGGTTTACGAAACGCTGGCCACCAAGAGCGGGCTAGATTTTGCTCCAGTAATTCAAGGTCGGCCATACTGGGAAAGAAGAGAGCAGCACACCGAGGAGTTTGCCCATAACCGAAAGTTAATAAATAACAAATGTGACGTAAACATACGGCACGAGACGGAAAAAATAACAAAGAAAGTGTCTCCCGGTATCCATTGTAAGTATCAGAAAGACGAAGAAAAGCAAATATCACCTCCACCTCCACCAGTTCGAAATTCATCCAGTCTCAAGTACATCCGACACCAACCCCAAACGCACGAAAAGTATCCGTCTTGGCCAGCTGTTCCCACATCCGAGTCGGATTCTTCCAATTCCGCATTATCGTCTTCAAAATCATCTCCAGCTGCTACGAGTCACCGTTCTAATTCTTGGACGGAACAAACTAATTATCCCAAGGAAAGGATAGCTTACTGTCGACCTAAAAAATGTTATAAGATATCTCCAAATCAATTACAGCCCGTATTGGAAAGATCGGTTCTGGAAAACGGCAATCGACAACAAAAACACGAAGTAGGTAATTTAGAAAATTCCCTGAAAGAGGCTCTACACTCTGATCCCATAGATTTGGATAGCTTGTGTAGATCATATTACCCACGCCAGACATTAACTGTTTCTCGTGATTACAATATCCATTCTCCTCCGGAACGTGATGTGCCAAGACCAACCGTTCACGATAGAACTCGTAAACACCCGGAAAACAATCAATCGTGTTACTGGAATAATGGACCCGATAGTTGCACCCCTCTTCTGGATAGATTGAGACTGGAGAGTGAAGTAATGCCTTCTAACTGGTCACCTCAAGTAGAATTGGAAACACCCAGCGAAACGGGAAACGAGAGCGTGGACGGCAGTAACAGCAGCCAGGAAACATTAAAATGGCACGGTTCTTGCAGCGATCTTAGTTGTTCCAATAAATCATCCATTTTTGATAGCGGCCGATCTACTCTTCCAGACAGATTATCTCCTCAGTCATGCGATAGCAGCACATCACAGATCGTTCACAGTTCACGAGTGGAGCCCGCTCAGAGGCACGATTCCGAAAGTGTACTTTATTACCTATCACCCGTAAGAAGTAACAAAAACGACGACAGAAAGAACTTTTCCACTTCCTTCCCAGGATTTTCTAGAAACGGATGCGACTCTAATTACTATTCCACTCCAGATAACATCAGCAAACTAAAAGTTTCCGAGCGATCTTGCGACATCAATAGATTGAAACACGAAAATGAATGCGAAACGAAGCATCAGAAGTATCAATATTTGGATCCGGAAAAGAGACATCGCATATCCGATCCGGAATTAAAAGCCATTCAGAAACAAGCAGTTTTGTCTTTCTATCACAGACAAACAGCTGCACAAACAAACACATCGAACGGAGGAGACATGCCCGTTCCCCACGAATCTCCTCCAATTTCACCAGGAAGAATGAAATGGAATCAGTGGGGAGATAATAAACTGGATAAAGTACCCGAACATGCAGTTTTGGCCACGGATCCACTCTCGAGAACAACCATTAGAGGTAATAAGACTCCAGAAGAATTCAGAAATTTGGAGAATCAATTAAGTTTATCCGTTCCAAACTTGAACGAAGTAGCTCTTCCTCATCATCAAATATCTAGTCAACAAACTACGGGGATTAGAAGTCAATCTTTTATGGATGAACCTATCGTAAGTAATTTTTTACTCGTTTTATTCGTTTTTTTTTTTGTTGAATGTGTATAGCCATATCTACTTCATAATATATAATATATATAGATGAGATTTCATTTTAACATTATCAATATGGTTGTAAAATATCTATCACTAGAGACTATCGATTTTATTTGATGTATGTTATTGTTTGATTCATTCCAAATCCCACTATTTTTATAAAAGACTTGCCATTTATTTTCTCTTCTATCGATTTATTATAGTCCAGAGCATTTACTATAAACTATTATTTGTGAAGAATGTAAGTTTAAATTTTCACGCGAAAACAGGGGAAATCGTGAAAGAATACTTCATTTTTTCTTCTATTTTTTATTGTATTATTCTAAAGATCACGACTCTGGTATTGTCTGTAAATTTTATATACTGTGTTAAGAGAAAATTTGTATTGTTAAATATCAATTAAATCAACCTAAATCTAACTCTTTATAAGTCGAAAAAGAGAAGTGTAATGTATAAAAAACGAGGGGAGTAGTTTATTTGGTAAGATTAGTCAAATCTTATTTCACTATCCATTCAAATAGAGTTAAAGGTTTGGTTATTTCGAGTCAGAGAATATTTCGAGTGACATGTTTACAACCAACCGTTCGACCATTTTGTCTGCTTGCTACACAAAAATTATCGTCTGCAACCTGTTTCTCCAACAATAATAAAGAAAAATGTCTTCCTCCGTCGTCTTACAGCTACTCTTTTCCGTTCTCGTACTAGACATTTATTGCCATCTCTGCCCACTTCTTGTTTATCCTCCTGCTCCGGCATTAATATCTGTTAGTTTCCGTAACGTCATAGCAACGCTCTGACACCAGTCGTATTAAGAGAAGAGATGGGTTGATTGGGACTCTTGGCAGCTGACAATCTTGCTTCCACGTCTTTAGCTTGTAAAGGAATTCGATGGTTCAATATTTTCTCATATATTCGAAATAGCTTTACCTAAGAAAAGCTCGTTGGCCCCGGGATTATATTGAATGATAATTGATAAGTCGGATTGTCATTATAACGGATTGTTGCGGTAATCGATAAAAAGAGGGAGATTTAACTCGAATTGGATGTTTTTGCATCTTTTCCCGCCAAAGGGAACGGTTTGTTGGCCAATGGTAATAAAAGAGGTTACACTCGTAACAGCTTTCTCCAACTCATCTAACTTTGGCCGCCGTTTGCTCCGGGCTATTCCTGCTTAATTTCTCTAGTGTGCCTGGCTAAGCACACATTCTGTTTTCGCCAACCACAATATCCCTTCGCTTCGAAATTTGCTGGCTTTTATCTCCCGACATGTAACACTTTAATTAAAACGATCATAAATAAAGATAAATTATTAAGATTATCTTTTGTAAGAGAAAAGTTTGGCGTATCCTTCCTGTGAAACGGTACAGCAGAAAGTACTCTTCATCCAATTGAGAGCTTTCCGTCAGATTCCGAAGTCAATTGGGACTTAAGAAAGTGACAAGAAGACTGACTTCACCGCACGGCAGCTGTGCATCTCGACCAGAAGCCAAATTGCCAGGGGCCGAGATCTGTCAGCCTGGTATAGAGACTTGGAGTGAGAAGTAATGAGCTGTCGTAGCGTTTGACGGTAAACTCTTCTGCTTCTAGATTGTTAGAGCCTTCTTTTTTATTGTCATTTGTTTGCAGAAATCACGTTATAGTGCGGCGTCTGGCAAAACTGGATTTCCGAAATCGCCCGCTTTACAGTCTTTGCTAAGGTATTAGTAATGGCAGATTCCTGTTTTATAAATCGACGAGGATTTTGCTTGACAGAATTCCAAAACGGAATTTCTTTTTTCTTTCTTTCTTCTTCTTCTGTCAATTAAGTTCGCAGCGGGCGTTGGTTTATACGAAACAATATGTTTATAGTTTTTTTTTCAATTTTTGTCACAATTGTCAATTAAAGTCTTGTTTCTTTAAAAAACAGAAAAAGATTTATTGTAAATCTAAAAGAATTACTGTATTTTAATAGTAAAAACATTTTGTATAGTTAAATAGCGAATTAGATATTTAATTATTAACTAAGTATTAATCATCAGTAATAGCAGATCAGGTGTTTAAATGGTGCGGTTCACAGATGACCTTTTGCAAGTCCTCTTGGCAAAAAAAAGTAATAATTTTCTAATATTTCAAACAAAAGTTCGAAATATTTGAATATGCAAGTCATGTGTTTATATATAATAAACAATTCACGGGAACATATAAATAATTTTTGCATGAGGTGGCCTAAGAGACACACGTTACTGGTATTAGTAACAGCCATTGTGTAGTTCAGATTTCAACGAGTGATCTTCTAACTAATTCATTCGCCGAATATTTATATTTAAGGATAAGTGGAGTGGAAAATTAATATAAATAACTCCAAAACAATAAAGAATTGAAGATAGTTTTGATGAGATAAAAATAGTTTTTTTTCTCATATTTAAAAAAATTCATTTTAAAAATTACGCGATAAGATTAATTGTTAAGATCAAGGTTATAATTTAGTAAGATCATTTATATGATTTTGTTTATAAAGAATGTTTCTTCAGAAATTGAATTATTTGTATTATTTTTATTTTAAAAAAAATATTAAACTAGTTTATATTTTAAATTATAAATGTCATCCTTTAACGTTATATCCATTTTTTAACAAAGGAAATTTTTCATTTACGAAAATATTTTAACGAAAAAAAATTAGTATATAAAATATTAGTTATTAAGTCATGTAATAATTCTTAAGGAAAAAGAATATTTATTAAAATGTGCAACATTTTAATCGAATTTCTTTAATAAAATTTTTATGTCTTTCGAAGAATATTTTACGTAAAAATTTTCATTATTAAATATTTAATCTGTAGGAATAATAATAATAATAATTTATTTATTAAATTTAATATATTCTTTAGTTATTCAAAACTTAATCGAAAGTTAATTTAATTCCGGGTAAGGTTAAAATGTCACCATTTTGACTGGAAAAATGCATTAAGGCTGCACTCAACTTTTTAATCCAGTTTGAAAAAAGAAATGTAAAAATGTAGATAAATATATGTATGACCATATTATTGATAAAGCAAGATTGATTTTGAGCAAAGCAAATGCGTCTTGCCCAAATACCATTTACCCCAGTTCATCTCCGAGAGTCCTGCATATTGACATATAAGGTAGAAATTCTTAGAATTGTCAATATGACATCTACAATTGAATTTACAATGAATTCCCATATAAGTTCAGCGGCAATTTATATAGGGCTTTTATGCGAAGTTATAGGAGAGGACATATCCATAACTTTATTTTTTTTTCCAGAAATATGATTGATTGACACCATCTTTCTTTATCGTTCTTCTTAAGATCAGATGTTGATGTCGCGCGTAGCAAAAGTATCTGGAATATTTACTAAAATATATATATATATAACCGACAATGAAAAGCAAATTAAAAATAAAACTTTGAGAATATAAAAGTCTTGTATAAGTTGCAAAAGTTTCAAGCAATCCGGCGAAGGATTCTTTTATAAAAAATTGAAGGATAAAGGATGCAAGTCGATAGCAATGTAAATATAGTATTTAGCGTGTCTTTCAAAGCTTCTTTAGGACAATCAACGAGAGCAGATATTTTATTGTGTAACTACAGAAATTTTATTCTGAAACGAAAACAATATCGAACTACTTTTCAATTCAAAATTTAATATGTAAATGTGTTACGTCCGTTAAATCTCTTTAGTGACTCGATCTCGGGAGAGACAGACTTCGCTAAGTTACTTAAAATAGATTTATCAAGATTCCCTTTTATTATTCCCATTTAAAGATTATCTCGTAACTCGAATAACAAGATCAAAGCTTTGTATTTGAAATATATCCTTATGGTATTATATCTAGGCCAAGTTATTATCTACCGTCATCTTTCATCTCCTAAATAGGATAATATTTAGCTAAGTTCAAACCGATTTTTCTCTAACTTAATTGTAAACTGTCAAAAGAAAACTCGTATAGAAAAAAAAAAGAAATATTCAGCTCTTCCATGATTTATGAATACATTTCTCTTGGGTAAGTTTGCCGGCCTACGAGAAATTTTCGTCTTCCTGTTTGCCTTTTTTCTTTTAAATTGCAATTTTGGAGATGAAAAAATGCCTATAAAATCTTTAAAAAATTGACGCTAATTAGTCAAAAATTTCAGATTTAAATGACTTTTTTTTAAATATTTAATATATTACAGTATTGTTTTATTGTATACAATTTATATTACACAATATCTTGAGAATGTTATTTTTGAAATGAAACATATTTAAGAATACATCTGTAATTAAAGTCTTAGAAAAGAAAGAAAGCAAAAGAAGTAAACAGAAGAAGTTATTTATTTTTGGACAAGGAAATGGCTCGGCTAAAAAATAAAATTAACATCTTAAGTTCACAATAAACGTTGAGATATCTTATCAAAAGAAAAGTTTGCTTTGTAAAGTTTTAATGGAAACTCTTACATGGAACTTCGTCCACTTGGCTTTTTACGACTCGATTCCGTATTAAGAAAAGACGTTAGTTGTCAGGTAAACAATCCATTAGATTAATTTATTATTCCGACATACCTTTAATATGCAAATTTAATATTAAGATCCGTAATATTTTATATAACCTGTAGAAGGGCAAAGTAAAAAGGAAAGAAAAAAAAGAGGAGGAAGATCGATAAGAGCAGTGTTTTTTTAAAATATAACTAGTGTTTCGTTATATAAATCTCGATGTAGCGTATAATTTTCTTCAGATTAATAAAATAATACTAACGTTATTATGTTACTAACAACTGCTCATAAATAGAATTGTCTAGGATCATAATCCGTAACGTATAAGTCCAGCGAACGGAAAGTAAATAATAATGCATAATTAATGGCTGGGAGTGATGATTGGATCTAGGACGTTGAAGGCAATTTATTCAAAATATTTGTCAAGCCGCAATTTACCTTGAAAATAGGAGACGACGTGTATTACTCGGCGAGTAGCGAAAATTAG